AGTTAGAAAAAGAGCAACAAGAAAAGCCCAGTGTAAGCAGAAGGAAGGAAATAACAAAAATCAGAGCACAGATAAATGACATAGAGACCAAAGAAACAATACATAAGATCAACAAAACCAAGAGCTGGTTCTTTGAAAGAATAAACAAGATAGATGGACCCCTAGCCAGGCTAACCAAGAAACAAAGAGAGAGGACCCAAATAAACAAAATCAGAAATGAAAGAGGTGAAATAACAACAGATCCCACCGAAATACAAAGAATTGTTACAAAATACTACGAACAGCTCTATTCCAATAAACTGAACAACCTGGAGGAAATGGACATATTCCTAGAAAAATACAACCTTCCAAAACTCAATCAGGAAGAATCTAAAAATCTAAATAGACCAGTGACTTGGGAAGAAATTGAAACAGTCATCAAAAAACTTCCAGCAAACAAAAGCCCAGGGCCAGATGGCTTCACAGGAGAGTTTTACCAAACATTCAAGGAAGAACTAAAACCTATCCTCCTCAGATTATTCCAAAAAATCCAAGAGGAAGGAACACTTCCAAACTCCTTCTATGAAGCCAGCATCACCCTAATACCAAAACCAGATAAAGACAACTCAATGAAAGAGAATTATAGGCCAATATCCCTCATGAACATAGATGCCAAAATCCTCAACAAAATTCTAGCAAATCGGCTCCAGCAGAGCATCACAAAGATCATACACCATGACCAAGTAGGATTTATTCCAGGAATGCAAGGATGGTACAATATCCGCAAATCAATAAACGTGATACATCACATAAACAAGTTGAAAGATAAAAATCATATAGTCATATCAATTGATGCAGAAAAAGCATTTGATAAAATCCAACACCCTTTCCTGATAAAAACTCTCAACAAGGTGGGAGTACAAGGATCATACCTCAACATAATAAAAGCTATATATGATAAACCCACAGCCAACATCATACTCAATGGGCAAAAACTAAAACCATTCCCTCTAAGAACAGGAACAAGACAGGGATGCCCACTTTCGCCGCTCCTCTTTGACATAGTACTGGAAGTACTAGCCATTGCAATTAGACAAGAGGAGGAAATAAAAGGCATCCAAATTGGAAAAGAAGAAGTAAAGCTATCCTTATTTGCAGACGACATGATATTGTACATAAAAAACCCAAAAGACTCCATTAAAAAACTAATTGGCTTAATAAATGAATTTGGCAATGTAGCAGGATACAAAATTAACGCCAAGAAATCTATGGCATTTCTATACACCAACAGCGAATTTATAGAAACAGAGACTAAAAAAGCAATTCCATTTACCATCGCACCAAAAAAATTAAGATATCTAGGAATAAATTTAACTAAGGAAGTAAAGGACCTATATGCGGAAAACTACACGACACTGAAAAAAGAGATAGAGGAAGATGTAAACAGATGGAAGAACATACCATGTTCATGGATTGGTAGAATCAACATCATCAAAATGTCCATACTTCCTAAAGCAATCTATAGATTCAATGCACTCCCCATTAAAATACCAACGGCATACTTCACTGACCTAGAAAGAACTCTCCAAAAGTTCATTTGGAACAATAAAAGACCCCGAATAGCCACAGCAATCCTGAGAAAGAAGAGTAAAGTAGGAGGGATCTCAATACCAGACTTCAAACTGTATTACAAAGCCACTGTTCTCAAAACAGCCTGGTACTGGCACAAAAACAGACATATAGATCAATGGAATCGAATCGAGAACCCAGATATCAACCCAAATCACTATGCTCAATTAATATTTGACAAAGGAGGCACGAATATACAATGGAGTCAAGACAGTCTCTTCAATAAATGGTGTTGGGAAAATTGGACAGATACATGCAAGAGAATGAAACTGGATCACCAACTTACACCATACACAAAAGTAAACTCAAAATGGATACAGGACTTAAACATCAGACGGGAAACCATAAAAATACTAGAAGCATCCACGGGCAGCAAAATCTCAGACATATGCCAAAAGAACTTCTTCACTGATACTGCCCCTAGGGCAATGGAAGCTAAAGAGAAAATAAACAAATGGGACTACATCAAAATAAAAAGCTTTCTTACAGCAAAAGAAACCATCAACAAAACAACAAGAAAGCCCACGATGTGGGAGAACATATTTGTAAATGTTACCACTGATAAAGGTTTAATCTCCAACATCTACAAACAGCTTATACAACTAAATAAAAGGAAGATGAATGATCCAATTAAAAAATGGGCAATGGACCTAAATAGAATATTTCCAAAAGAAGACAGAAGGAAGGCCAAAAGGCACATGAAAACATGCTCAAAGTCACTAATTATCCGAGAGATGCAAATCAAAACAACAATGCGGTACCATCTCACACCTGTCAGAATGGCCAACATCAACAGATCAACAAACGACAGGTGTTGGCGAGGTTGTGGAGAAAAGGGAACCCTCGTGCACTGCTGGTGGGAATGCAGACTGGTGCAACCACTGTGGAGAACAGTGTGGAGTTTCCTCAAAAAACTGAAAATGGAACTCCCATTTGACCCAGTAATCCCACTCCTAGGAATATATCCCAAGAAACTAGAAACACCAATCAGAAAGGATATATGCACCCCTATGTTCATAGCAGCACAATCTACAATAGCTAGAATTTGGAAACAGCCTAGGTGCCCATCAGCAGATGATTGGATCAAAAAACTTTGGTACATCTACACAATGGAATACTATGCCGCCATAAAAAAGAAGGAATTCTCATCATTTGTAGCAACCTGGATGGAAATGGAGAACATCATGCTGAGTGAAATAAGCCAGTCATTGAAAGAAAAACACCACATGACTTCACTCATTTGTGGATAATAAAGAACATTATAAACTGATGAACCAAAAGATAGATATAAAGATAGTATATCAACAAGCAGACTGTCAAATTACAGCAGGGAGGGGAGGAAGATCTGGGGGAGATAATAGATCAACCGAAAGACTTTTATACATACACATAAGTACAACCAATGGACATAAAACTCTGGGGAGGGAGGGGATGTGAGGGAGAGAGGGAGGGGGTGCAAAAAAAAAAAATCAAAAATATATATATATATTTAAAAAAAAAAAAAAGACTGAAGAAAGGACCTCTTTTCTACTATTTCGAATGCTTAATAGCTAATTTCATAACATCACATGTACCATTTTAAGAAAGTGATGATTTAGTGGGAAATTAATGCTTTGCATCTGTATACTGTAAATATAAATGATGATTTGTTTGAAATGTGTAACTAGGATATGCAAAAGATAATAACTCACAATGTTAATATTAAATATTACTTCAAAAAAAAAAAAATTATGGTACATCTAGAGAAAACATATTTGTGCAGATATAAAAATATGTTTAAGAGTTATTCAGTAAAAATATGAAAGCAAGTGAATGAAAGTATACATAATAATGTACGTCCTTTTGTGTAAAACAAATTAATGCATATGTGTATAATATTGCTGAAAGTATATGGAACATCTGGTTCCAGTAGATGCCTCTTGAAAGGGAACATGGACACTAAGAGAACTCAAGTGGGAGAAATATTTATTTTTCATTTATACTGTTTGAAATTTGTTATTATGTCTATATATATATTACTCCTTCTATTAAGAAAAAAAATAGCCAAAAAAATGACTTTTAAAAAAATTAAAACTAGCTCCAGTCCTTAAGTTCATAGTGGTGACCTTAACAAGAGTTATTTAAATAGAGTCATGAGAGGAATCTAGGTCAGTATAGGCAAAACATGAGGGGATGAATAAATAATGACAGTGAGCATGAAGAACTCAAGAAGTTTTCCTGGAAAGAGGAGTACAGAGGTACACTAATAGCTGAAGGTAAAAGAATGGTCAAGAGAAGGTATCACTTTATTAATTTAAGTTTTTAAAGGGATCATCCATTGACTGAATAAGCACTCTGAGCAGGCTGCAGAGGAGGCTTTCCAGGCAGAGGGCACTTTCTCCTCTGTAATGAGAGATCAAGGCAGGATGGAGGGGGAGAGAAGGGTCATTTGACAGCTGGAAAGTGGAGAGTTGAGCAAATTCCTGTTTTATGGATTCTATCTTTATGGAAAATGTATCAAGGTTATCTGCTGAATCAGAGGAAAAGGGGAATACGGGCAGCGAGGCATTTCAGAAATGTAAAGGAAGATTTGGTTTGCAACCTTAATTTCAAAAAATGGGACAAAAAAAAAAAAAAAAAAAAAAAAAGCTGAAACCGGTTTGGCTCAGTGGATGGAGCGTCGGCCTGCGGACTGAAGGGTCCCGGGTTCGATTCCTATCAAGGGCATGTACCTTGGTTGCGGGCATATCCCCAGTGGGGGGTGTGCAAGAGGCAGCTGATCGATGACTCTCTCTCATCGATGTTTCTAACTCTCTAGCTCTCTCCCATCCCCTCTGTACAAAATAAATTTAAAAAAAAAAATCTGTCTTTAAAAAAAAAAAAAAATGGGACCAGAGACATAGGAAAAACTTGCCTGGATGAGATGGGCATTCACTATTTATAGTGAAATCAACTAATCTGTTTGATGTTATTTTATTTTTTCCAACAGCACCTACATGCCCTGGTGTAGACATAAAGAAAGCCATGATAATATGGATTTGGACCAACCAAAAATAAAAAGCAAAGAAGTTAATATTATACAGAGACTCCTCCACCTTCCACCCTCTTCCATCATCTTCAACATCCATCAGTATTCTCTAGATATATTTTTCATTTATTTACAATTCCTAAATATGTGCATAATCTTCTGCCTATTCACGATGAATAAGCCAAAGAGAGAGCAAATATAATTTGAAAGTTTAGGAATTGGGATAAGAGAGAAGAAAAAGGACTAATAGTAGTTGAACATCAGCTATTGTTTTAGATATTAAAAATGTAGTCTCCTTTATTATGGAGTGGACAATAACTATGTCCTGACAATAAAGTTATTACTTTTCTATTTCTGAGACCATAAGATTTGTGGGAAAACTTACCACTCTTAGATCGTATACTGTCAAAGCTATGGAAATGGTGGACATAATTATGATGGCAAAAGCATATTCCTTATAGTCTTCACTAAACCACAAACAAACACTAAATAGTTGAAATATGTAAAACGGATTTAAAACCTGTTGGGATAGAAAAACAAGAAGATAGAAAAATATTTAGGCTTCACACTTACTTATTCACTGACATTCATTTTCATGATCATCTCTATGACATAAATCACCCACACAATACTCTTACTGTATTTCTTCAGCAATTGCCATGTGCCAAACACTGCACTAAGCAATTTCACCTGAATTTACTTATTTAGGTCCCATGATTACATTATTAAACAGATGTCATTACTTATCTCCATTGTAAAAATGAAGAGACTGAACCTTAGATCTTGTGAAACTTGCTCAAGGCCACACAGCTGTGACTCTCCTGGACCAAGACTTGAACCCAGGCAATCCTGTCTCAGAGTGCCTACTTTTAATAACTACTACCCTTATAATTTACAAAATAGTGCCTCACATATCCTTATTTTTACCATTACAACAATTGTGTAAGGAGTAGGTATTATTATTTTCAGTTTACTGGCCTGTGGATTAAATTAGGTTTACAAAGTTAGAATGCTTCCTAATCTATTGTTTTCTATGACACAATACCTACCACAATTGAAGCATGAAGGTACTTCTGCATTAATGGATGAGGTGAAGGTGATATTTCCTCATAAGAGCCCAGCTGATAAGTAGTAAGCTATAACTGGGTATCTAGAACTCTGGGAAAAGGTAGAGGCTAATTCCTACCGGTTGTAATCCTGCGTCTGTTGAAAATATCCTGTGCCCTTACTCAAATTCCCATCTTCACACTTACTTATTCACTGACAGTCATTCTCATGATCATCTTGCCTCTGGTTAGGGAAAAAGCACACAGGAACTTTGCCTACCAGATTCTGTTGCTTTTTTTTCGTACCTGAAAGCTTGCTAGAAATATTGAGACAGTACCTTGAGTTTATAAGCTTTATTTTTTAAAAAAATGAGGTGTGGAGGTGCACTGCAGGAAAAAATCCAGAGGATAGCTATATGGTTATAGTTTCATCATAATCAATATAAAGTGAAAAATAAACCCAGTGGTAGAGCCAAAGAGGAAAAGCTCACTCAGTAAACGATGGCCAAATCATTCTTTTCCTCCCACACACACTTTAAGATTAATAGAACTAAGAAGGCTGAACAGATATTTTTCTTCCTACAATTTTGGATGCTAAAGAAATTGTATATGTTTCCCATAAGAAAAGAAGAGGTCTTCAATTTTTATGATTATTTTAGTTTCACAAAGTTGTGATAGACTAAGAAACAAAGGAGTAAAAAAAGAAAAGGAATTTGTATTCATCTAGTCAATAGGAGATAAGTAGACACATGAGTATCATATCTTATACTGTGTCAGGCACTGTATACAAAAGATGGACTTCAAGAAAAAGAGTAAAAAGAAATATAAATAAAATGTGCTTGTCATTCTTTTAAAATATCCCAAATTATAGTTACCTATTAACAAGTAGCATTCTTGATTGTTTGACTAGAACCAAACTCCTTTATTTTCTATCCAGCATCAAAAAAAGTAATATTACCTCTTTGATGAGCAGTTTCCAAATTGGTGTGATTTCAACATCAATAATATTAGGCCCACATATTAACCTCCTATTGGGAGAGATCACAGATCACTCAGTAACTAACAATAAAAATGAAACTCATTTCTTGCCCATTCAAAAAATATCTTCTTCATATTCACTTCCTCATTTGTGGGATTAATGTAAGCCTCCCTCCTGACATACCCCTAATCCTTCTCAAAAAAACTAGGAAGGAGGAGGGATACCTAGGTACCAAAACAATAAATACAATCATGTTGCATCTGTTAAACTAGATTCTTTCTGAAGTCTAAATATTTATCTCAGGGTAATTTTGGTATTTAATATCAGCAATTGTCTCATTCAAGTGTTTCAAGTTTGGCATGCTCCCCAACTCTGGATCCACAGAAATGGGGAAAAGGGGGCAATAGGAGATAGTACTTCTACTGATAAGGAATACTGTATCTGCCTTTCTACTCCCAATCAGTTATAGGAAGCTGTTTCAATGTTTATGAATGAAAAGGTGTTGTGCTCTCAAAAATGCTCTACACAGAGTTATATAGCCCTTTAATTGAAAACCCAGAGATATGTTTCTTTGGTTATCACAGCAATGACCTTTATGAGTTTTTTGCAGTTGAGAATACTAACCACTTTCTCTGTGGTTAGTCTTTCTCTTTCTTTTCCACTCTTTCCTTGTATGTAAATGTTCGTATTCAATGGCTTGGACGAATATGTTAGAGCAGTGCTCCTCATACTTTAATGGTCATATGAATAACATTGTGATCTTGTTAATATGAAGATTCTGATTCAATAGGGGTGAGATGTGATCTAAGATTCTGCATTTCTAACAAGCTGACATCCTGGTGATGCTGATACTGCAACATTTTAGGTTTATTCAAGGTACAGGAGATGGGGTAGAGAGGAATGTGAGACTCATAAAAACTTAGGACCAGCAAGGCCTTTATAGAGTTCTCCTCTCCCTTTTAACCATTAGGAAACTAAAGCCCAGAGAGGAGAAACTATTTGCTCAAAGCCACACAGTGAATTGGTGACAGGCTCTTGATATTCAATCCAATGCCTTTCCTAAAACTTCTTTGCCTAGTAACTGATTTGGAATTGTGGAACTGTAGGTCTTGCATGGTATTCTGCTGCTGCTCCCCAATTTTTACTTAACTATGTTACCATAGGATAATTTGTATTTCCTGATTGCAATCAAAACTGGCTCAACTTTATTATTATAATAACCTTAAAAGACTTGGGGAGAAAAGAAAGAGCACCAACCCTACAGTCAGAAATGTGAGACTCAGTTCTTTGTCATTCCCCATTCCCCATCTCTCTTAGCCTCAGATGTCTCATCTGTTATGTTGAGATGAATAAGGTATCTATTCTAACCTGCCTCACAAGGCTACTCTGGTAAAGTGAGATAGTGTATATAAAAGCATTTAGTTCAATACAACTAAAAAAGTAGAGCATTATAATGTTTTCTGATATTGATCAGTTAAGATGATTATTAACATATCTATTTGACTAACTGGCAAGAATCCTTTTGAATAGGTGTCAATAACAATATGCTTGGTACCTAATCTCTTGTTCTTCTCTTGTTAGACCTGATCCAAATTTTAGATGTATCTTGGCAGAACTGAGCCAGTCTTCCAAAGAGCTAAAATAATAATAATGAGAAAGACATAGTTAGCAATATTTTTGAAATAATATTTTTCTTCTTTGTTTGCAATTGTTGAAACAACTTACCCAATTTTCTGAAACTGTCCTTCCAAGTTGTTCCAGACATATCTTATTTTCTGCACTTTTATGTATCTCACCTACAAAAGAAAAATACTAAGAAAGTCTCTTGTTTCAGGATCAGCAGATATACGATGTTTAATGGCTAAAGAAGCATTTGTAGAAGCAAAGATAGAGCCCTACTATGGGTGTTTAAGATTTTATATTTTTATAACTTGTCCTATCCTTTCTGATTACACAAATGGCATTCTTCATTAGAAGTCATCATTCAATTAACCTGAATCTTGGGCCTATTATATGGATAAGTATCTGAATAGAACTCAGTCTCTGCATTCCACTACCTTATAACCTAACAATGAAAGAAAAAAATATTACAAAGCAAAGAAAACTATACCATATCATCAAATATAAATAAGTGAAAGAAACAAATATAAAATAAAGTAAAATATATAGTATTGAATACCTTAGAAATATGGAGAAGGCAGATGACAAAGACATCATGGAGAAAATGATATCTGAGCTTCAGCCTTGAAAGACTGGAAGAATTTTGCTCAGATGAGATGACAAGAGAGCATTTCAAAGGCATTTTGCAAGTCAGTGTGCCTGGTTAAGAAATGGTGGAGGAGGATGGAAAAATAAATAAAACTCAGCCCTAGCCAGTTTGGCTCAGTGGATAGAGTGTCAGCCTGAAGACCAAAAGGGTCCCGGATTCGATTATGGTCAAGGGCATGCACCTTGGTTGTGGGCTCCTCCCCAGAGCTTGGCAGGAATCAATCAATCGATGTATTTCTCTTACATTGATGTTTCTATCTGTCTTTTCCTTTCTTTTGCACTCTTAGTAAAAATCAATGGAAAACTATTCTACAGTAAGGATTAACAGAAAGAGAGAGAGAGAAAAGGAGAGAAGAGGAGAGGAGGGGAGAGGAGAGGAGAGGAGAGGAGAGGAGAGGAGAGGAGAGGAGAGGAGAGGAGAGGAGAGGAGAGGAGAGGAGAGGAGAGGAGAGGAGAGGAGAGGAGAGGAGAGGAGAGGAGAGGAGAGGAGAGAAAGGAAGGAGGAGAGAAAGAAAAAATAAACAAAGATCAGATTGTACCGCCTTAAATGCTAGATGAGGTATTTAGGACTTTATCTTAGAGTCAATGAACTTGCAGAGTAAACAAAAAAAAAAAAAAGGCAATAAAGAGGTTCTAGAAGAGGGTGATGAGGTTATTGCAAGAAAAAGTGCTCCAGGAAGTGAGAATCTGAGAATAGGGTGGGAAAGAAAGGAAAGGCTAATGCTTATGACAATTTTGCCTTTTGTTTCTGGTTTCTTTAAGCAACTTTGTATATGAATCTGAATTTCCATTAACTGGTGACCTAATTAAGCACAAAGAAAAGTAGTGATTCTGTCATATTGCTATGGAGCAATGGTTATAACCTCATTTTGACCATTAGAATCAACTGGAGAGCACTGAAAAAGTAATGATACTGGGTCCCACCCCCAAGAGATTCTGATTTCATTTATCTGAGCATCAGTATTTTCCAGTTGCCTCGGGTAATTCTAATGTGCAGCCAAAGTTGAGAAACAGTGTTCAAGACTTCCTTTTATAGCTACTCTAATAAGTGAGTCCTTGAGAAATTCAACTAAATGTCTCTGCACCTCAGTTTTCTTTTTTTTTTGTGAATAAATTGAGGTCAGATCATTACTGAGTTTCACTCCAACTCCTTTGAACATGTTCTATACATACAAATATTATAGTCCATATAACAATTAGATAAATACTAAAACTGGGGAAAGAATATAGCTAGTACATAATAAGTGTTCAATACATTTTTTTATTAAATAAAAGAATGTTTTGTATACCACAGGTCAACTAGACAGTGTTTAAATTCTTCAGCTCCAAGACCTGGGTTACTTCAAATGACTCTCTAAACTCTGTTTAATAAATACATGTGAAGGTACACAGTGCATGCACATCTGCATTTTACACACACACACACACACACACACACACACACACATGCACATATTTGTAGTTACCAAGTAAGAATGTTAAATGCTATACTTTTTGTTTTTACAGAATGGGTATATTTCAATAAGGTTGGTTGCATAAAACTTATTTTCTAATTGATTTTGAGCATAAGATTGGAATTAATTGCTACTGAAAATGATTCTTTCTCCTTCACAAGTTGCGAGTTAGAGTGAGGAAGAGTATTTGAAAGTAACCAGCACAGGATATGATAGTTGTCATGGCCCATCTTTGAAACTCAAATTTCTTGTCTAGCATCTTCTTTTCCTTCCCCATATTCCCTGCAATTTTGCTAATGGAGCTGGACTATAATCATAGTCAATGTTTATGAGTACTTGGGAGCTTTTTTACACCTCCTCTTTCGTCTTTTTCATCACCTTGTAGTAGGACAGGCAATATTTTAATCTTCACTTCACCTTCAAAGTTCATTGGGATTAAGTGACTTGTCCAAGATTAAAACTATTAAGAAGCAAAGCTAGAATTCTAACTCAAGCCCAGATGGCTCTAAAGTCCAGTTTCTCACACTATCTAATCAAGCTAGTCTCAGAAGAAAGTCTGAAAATCCCATAACTTCCAGGAATTATATAAAGTCAGGGTTCCCTACTTTATTAAGTCAATAAGTTCAAAATTCATGTTGGAAATTTTTTAAAGGACAAATGATGGTAGAATGTGAGGCCACTGCCAAGTTAAAGAACATAGGTCAAGGGGCTGTAAAACCACAAACTGAGATTGAGAAATTTAAAAAACATATTGGACACAAAAAAGCAGCAGAGAAAGGCAGCAATAATGAGGAATAAAGAGGTTACTGACAAGTTTTACCTCAGGCCAGAAAAAAGAAATTCCATTAACTCCTGACAATTTCTAAAGCCATTCTTCAGAGTAAGAAGAATGACTGTGTCATAGACCCTTTAAATACCTTTGAGATTCCCCTACCAGGAAATATCTCTGCCTAGAGTTTCTCTGCTTTCTTCATCACCTTCTGAGCTCTAGACTGGTAAGAGGATAATCATTATATTTGCAAGATGTGGAGTTTATTTGCCTATTTCCTGAAACTTGAGACAAAAAAAAAAAAATAGTAATTAGGAAATCAAGGATCTGCTGCAGGGTGAATTTCCTCTTTCAGCTCAGAACCAGGAAGTTTTTCCCTCATGGGCTTCCTGCTTTTTTTGTTCTTATTTGAATATGCTGTAAGAACATCCTGTTGAACAGGTTAGGCACTGGGTTTCAGTATTGCATGCAATCCTACAAATCCTAGAGAGTCTCTCTTAGCTTATGTTTGCAAACTTGACAAAATCCTTTGCTGCAGTCTCCAAACTCCCTCTAAATGACTGGTTATCGTTTTGTTGTCATTGTTATTGCCATCAGTGTTGTCATTGCTGAGCCTGCGACATCTCTAATTTTAATGAAAGTTTCAGTCCTTTATGAATATAAGTCACCTTAATATCCTTCTTCTTCTTTTAGGTTTAAATAGTCCTTAGAAACAGGCCAAGATGAAGTAACTACTTTTATTTTGCAAATTAAGAAACTCAAAGCTTAGGAAGGCAGTAACTAGCCAAATCCCCTGTGCCTTGTGCTGGTAAATGAAGATGTCAAGCCTGAGTACCAGAATGTTCCACTTCAAGATTTCTGCCCCTTCCTCACATTTTGATTCTTTACTTGAGCATTCCTTCATTTGTCTGTTCACTTATTTGTCTGATACAGATAAAGATGCCAGAGCATAATCGGACTCTGAGGCCATGTCCATAAGGTTGGTTTGAGATGTTTATTTCTCCAGGTGAATGGCCACCTAACAGATTAAGCAATTGTTAGTTGGAGGTGCTTGACCTCTTTTGAATTTGAGTAATAACAATTGACAATACAGAAACTGTTCAACAATTGACTGTTGTTATTTTTTAAAATTACCTGGAGCTCATAAAACTAATGTAAACAGCTGTTTACACACACACACACACACACACACACACACACACACACACACACACACATGAGAGATAATGGCCAGTCATATAAAATATTTTAATATGAATGTTAACTAATCATAATCCAAGTAATGCTCATTTAATAAGGAGATGTGGGAGTAACATTAACAGTAATACATTTGAATGACAGATTCATAAGGTCATCTTGCTGATGTAGGAAACTCCCTGGGCTATTCCTGGTAATTAACATTATTGCATAATAAACTCTGTTACACAGATTATTGTACAAGACTTGATTCTACTAAGAGCTAAAAAGTACTGAGCATCTACTATATACATGGCATCATATTAATCTCGGTATACCTCAATTTATTAAATTGTAGCAATTAATAGTAGAGGTGGGCATAATTTAATAATTGCTCCAACGTTGCACATAACCACTTAAATGTTCTACACTGTCAGTGGAAGAATAACACAGTAAAGGATCTGAATTTAATCTTACATTTTTTTTTGGGGGGGGGGAGATTAAAATTTTCTAGCATCAGCAGTAACCATGAATGTACTTACCTTTAGCTCTGGCTTTCTTATAGCTCTATTTATGAGACACTCCTCATCTGTAATGAGAGGGTGGTCAGGATTGAGACCAATTGCACTGTTTAATGCTGACAGGTAGATCCACATTACATTTTTCCGAGAGTAGGTTTGGAATTCATCCTGGGGAAATAAATACCAAAACCCCCGTGAAGTTAAGAGACGTCAAAAGGTTAAAATTCAACCTAAAAAAAAACATTGTTTCAATATAATTCTATATGTTTGTGGAACTAATCAATATTCTAAACAGAATTATATACCTTAAAAATCTGGTAGATTTAGAGCCCTGAGGGAAAGACTATTGTCATCACTCACTGAGGATGTGGATAGGAGGCACTGGCACACACCACAGAGCTGGAGAGTCAAGAGTCCCTATTACCCTCCAACCACAAGCTGTGGCCAGATGCAAAATTTCAAAGGGGGGAAAAAAGCAAGTATTCTAAAGGGTTTCTTTGAGTGTCTGAGTATGAGGAACCCAGGTCTCTAAACTCTGCCCATGTTTCCAAGCTTACCTTAAATTCTACCACTTCCAGAATAGCTCCTTTAATACCCACTCAAGGGGGTAAGGGTGGGGATGGAGTCTGGGTTGAGATAGAGGCACAGAAGGCTGTCACTATACTAACTGCAGAAGTTTCTATCTGTCCCTCTTGTGTGCTCCTAATCACTTTCTATTTTATATTCTCCTAGTTCATCTAGACTATATTAAAAGCAAAGACCCTATCCCATCCATGTGGACAACTGCAACCAGCTCAGTAGCAGTCTGAGAATGAATGGTAGGACTGAACATGCCAAAGGTGATTGTCAAGTCATCAGCACAGGTAGGATTAGAGAAGGTACTTTCTTTCATGACCTTCATTGCAGCTGCTTCCCTTTGCAGGTCACTGATGACTTCATCACAGAAGAAAACTAGAAGGAGCAGCACTGAATTGAGTAACAGGTACCGCAGTAGTCCATTATATACTGATGTGATAATAATAACAGTGGCTATTATCTGAAGGGGTAAATGATACACATAAAATATACTTGGATGGATGCCTGGTAAACCACAGGAGCTAAGAAGGATGGCAGGGAAAGTCAAGCCTGAGAAATAATATGATGCCTGGGAATGTAGGTCAGAGCTGGGAATTGTCTTTACCACACCCACTCTTTTCATAAACAATGTCTGAGGTGACTCTGCACACACACACAGAGAAAGAGACAGAGAGAGAGAGAGAGAAAGAGAGAGAGAGAGAGAGAGAGAGAGAGAAAGAGAGAGAGAGAGAGAGAGAGAATCTGTGCGAGGCCTGGCTGGAGCATAGACGCAGCCCCACCCACAATCCAAAGGGACTGATAAGACAAAGGTCAATGCAATGGGAACATAATAATAGAGTGGTAAGAATCTCTGTATCCTTATGGTTTAGGACAATGGTTCTCAACCTTTCTAATGCTGTGGCCCTTTAATACAGTTCCTCATGTTGTGGTGACCCCCAACCATAAAATTATTTTCGTTGCCACTTATAACTGTAATTTTGCTACTGTTAATGAATCATAATGTAAATATCTGTGTTTTCCGATGGTCTTAGGCTCTCGTGACCCCCAGGTTGAGAACCGCAAGCAGGGTAACCTAAGACCATCGGAAAACACAGATATTTATATGAAGGTGGAAGGTTAGAAAGGTTGAGAACCACTGGTTTAGGAGGAAGATCACTCAGAGAGACAAGGGAGGTTCCAAACCCAGAACTGACCCTAAATGGATTGTTGAGATCTAGCCACATGGAAACTTAAAGAGAGTAAAGGAGACTATGTATTCTAGGCTAAGGAAGCAGCAGGAGCTTGGAGTCTATTATTTTTTCTCTGTTGAAAAAAAAATCGTCACTTGGAAATGGCTATTTCCATTTCAGTCTGTTTCTCAGCTCTCTCAAGCAGTTAATGATTTGTGAAATACCTAAATGCACTAGAGCATCTACCACCTTAAATAAGTGCTTTGTATACCTTGTAATACCAATAATCCACATTACCCGAAAAACTAGACTTCAACTTCTCTTTCTCAAGAGAATTAACGAGATCAGTCCTTGAGCTCTAACAGAGTAGATGTTAAAATAATTCAAGAGTGCATTTTGAAGAATTGAATGTACACAGAGGACCTATGCTTGACCTAGAAAGAAAGATGGATAAGGAAAGGAAAGATGGCTTTTTTCTTTTTTCTCCCCTGTGACCTTGCCCTTCCTATACCTGGAAATGCCAGGCGAGCTTTTATCTTTGAGTGAAATGAGTGACGTAGTTTATCTTCTTCCAACCTTTTGCTCTGAGCACTTCATCTGTTTGGAATTTAAAGGCAGTATAATAGTGACCTAAAGTTCAGGTCAACACTGTGACTTATCCCTTTGTATAAGAGTTTTCTCCACACACAAAAAAATATATACTTCTGAGTTTGCCTTAAAAAGAAAAAATAACCCACTCAATGATTTAGGAGACCTTAGGAACTCAGAACCTCTCCCTTGGAGATGGAAACATTGCAATGCTAAAAAGCTGAACTTTCGCTGAAGTGATGTAGAGAATTATGGATAAAGTAATAACTTACATTTCTCAGGCTCTTTCTAAAACACTGTGCTCCCTTTAAAGACCCATAACTTTGGTGCCAACTATTCTTTCTGTTATTAAGTATCTCTCTTTTTTTCCCTCTTTCCCCCTCTTGGCCAGGCCCATTGATACTCTAGTAACCATGACCTTGTAATCCAAAGTCACCTAGCTGGAAAAAATTGACATTGGCTAAAACATAGGATTTACTTATAAAAGATAGAGAATTGGTTTTAAGCATTGGAAAAATCTCACACTAATTATTTTCTCAGTATTCCTGGGACATGTTGACAAAAAAAAAAAAAAAATGAATTTGGTGAGTGCCAAAGCAGGGACATTACCTGACAAAGTGAGGGTTATGTCTATGTTTTTGTTTTGTTTTTTCAAAATTAATTTCTTTATTGATTAAGGTATCACATATTTGTCCTCAAACCTCCATTCCAATCCCTCACCCCACCCCCACTCATGCCCCCACCCCCCTTATTGTCCTTGACCACTGGTTAGGCTCATCTTTGTGCACATAAGTCCTTTGGTTGATCTCTCTCTTTTATCCCCATCCTCCCTATGAGGTCTAACAGTATGACCCATGGCTCCTTATCTCTAGGTCTATTCTTGTTCATCAGTCTATGTTGTTCACCATTTCCCCTAGATCAGTGTTTCCCAAACTTTTGACATATGTGTACTCCTTCTATAATTTTCGTAACACTGAGTACCCCTCGTACTCATGAGTATACGTAGAATTAGGCGCAGCTAAGCACGGTGCAGTGCATATCCCCACCAAACTCGGGTGCAACGCATACCCCCACCAAACTCTTCCCATACCCCTGGGGTACGCGTACAACACTTTGGGAAACACTTCCCTAGATGAATGAGATCATGTCCTACTGGAAATATGTTTGTGTGCAAAAAAGAAAACCCTGAACAACTTAGCACATGTTTCCAGTAACTGGTGTTTTGGGCTTGTTTTTACAATCATTTTCTTAAATATCTAGAGACGCATTATGTAGTTAAGAAGTAACAAATAAAAAGTTAAAGTTTGTTTTAAAATGTGTGTAGTAACAAATGGCCATGGAATACCTGCAAGGCAGGCATAGTTTCATCTCAGCGCTTACAACACACCACGTCATTTAGTCCCCATGACCGAGAGGGAGGTACTATTGTTAGCCCTACCTAACTGAAAAGGAAAAGGAGGCAGACAGGGGGTAAGTATCTTGCCTATTATAAACTGAATGCCCCAAAATTCATATGTTGAAGCCCTGTCCCCAGTGTGCATGCATTTTCAGATAGGGCCTTTAAGTGGGTAATTAAGGGAGGTCGTAAGGGTGACACCCTAATACACAGGGCTGGTACCCTTATAAGAAGAGGTAGAGACAGCAGAGCTCTTTGCCTTAGGTGAGAACACAGAGAGAAGGCCCCTGGCAGTCTGCAAGCCAGGAAGAAAGTTCTCACCAGAAAGCAACCCTGCCAATCTTGATCTTGGATTTCTCCTTTTCAGAACAGTGAAAAATTGCTGTTGTTTAAGGAACCATCTATGGTGTTCTGTATGGCAACCCAAGCGAATGTATTTCCCAAGGTAGGTCAAGAGAAACACTAGGAATCAAGCCCAGGCACTCAGACTTCACTCTTGACTCTCAAACCACTTTAGTCTGCCTTTGGAGAGTCTGTCCTGGACAGGGAGTAATAAGATCTCCAGTTTAGACTCTAGTTTAACTCTCAGTAGAAGTTCTGCGTTCACTATGTACAACTAGGGTTTCTTTTAACTTCTCTTTGCCTCCATCTGTAAAAAGGGAGGAAAGTAACCTCTACCACTAAGGACCATATGTAAGGACAATACATATGCAAATACTTGGCAAACTGTAAGTCACAAAATAAGTAGCACTGCCTTATAAAGAATAATCGTCTCAAAACCATTTGTCTGAATATAGAATCGTTTCTGAAAGGCTAACCCACATCATCTCTGGTATTTCTAGTAAATGTCTAAGGAAAAGCCAGGTTGAAACAGAGGAAGGGGGAATAAGATCCAGACGAGGGAATGTGTACTTAAAGGAGACTTAATACTACCTTCTCTTATTTCCTCAATCTTGAAGTTTCATTTTAGTGTCTTTGTAATACAGTGCTGGTAGAAAAACATGAAACCATTTATTACAGATTCACTTATATTTATTTAGTGGAATTAAATATTAATAAGTATTTAACACTCGCTGCAGCCATATGCTAGGTTCTGTGAGAAATGAAAAGTAAGCCATGGTTACTGTGTTCAAAAGCTTATAAACTGCCCTGGCCAGTTTGGCTCAGGGGCTAGAGCATCGGCCTGCAGACTGAAGAGTCCCAGGTTTGATTCCAGTCAAGGGCATGTACCTTGGTTGTGGGCACATCCCCATCCCCAGTTGGGGTGAGGGGGAATGTGAAGGAGTCTGCTGATTAATGTTTCTCTCTCACTGATGTTTCTAACTCTCTATCCCTCTCCTTACCTCTCTGAAATCAATAAAGATAATTTAAAAAGAAAAAAAGTTTATAGAAGAAAAAGCTATAAAAAGGAATTTGTTATAGTAGAAAACAACTCTGGA